CTTTATTATTGGGTACGCTATGTGCCTCTCACCATCTGTCCAGTGGCCTATTTTCTTTGTCTCAGAAGAAAGAAACGTACCTTCTTCACAATGTGAAGAAAGGACTGGTAGGGAATCAGGAATGTGTAATTGCAAAAGAGAGAAAAGACTCCGTATTTTGCATAGTATGGGCAGCTATTCTCAGATACATATTCTTGAATAAAAGAAATAATACAGCCAGATGAATGCGAGGATGGCATTCACTGCTCCCTGCATGTGCTTTCATTAGGAACTAACTTCAGTTTCACACTACGTACCTGTGCAAGAGATAAATAATAACCCCTTACATCTCTGTGCAGACTGCCTGAGTTAGGGCTCTTTGAAGTGAGTGTGCCATCTAAGTGCCGTGCATGTGCAAGAGTCCCACAGAAGACTCAGGAGAGTTTTTTCCTCAGGAGATTTCTATTTATTTTAGTAGAGTGACATTTTGCTCAATCTGTTTGGATCTTGCAAAGTGCTCTTATGAGCACTGTCTGCAGCCAAATGGGAAGTATGACCACATTCTCCCTTTTATCCAGACTGCTTATTGAACATATCTGTACTGAGCACGATAACATCAGGATAAAGAAACACAGTTTAGCAGAAACATATGCATGATAATTTTAAAAAGAGATCCAGGATAGTCAAACAGACTTGGAATTAAATTTTAGAGTATCTGGATATTAGATGCCTGATGTTTTGCTATTAATAGATCTATCAGACTTTCAAACATTCAGATTAGGCACCAGCACTAATTGATAGCTGCATGCTGAAAGGGGAAGGATTTATTGCAGTTCCTCAACTAGACAGATTAGCACTCTTTGGCAGAAATAGGAATTTTTATTTTTAAGGACGGGATGATGAAGGAAGGTGCTGTACATCGAGCACGGAGGGACTGGTGCTGTGCAGGGACAGTAAGCTGGGACAAACAAACAAGCAAGAAGCCGGGGATAGATCAGGGCGGACTCTTGAGGGTTGGGGCTAAGGCAGAAGCAGGATCTGGCATTATGGTTTAGACACTGACTAGTACAGCTAATGGCCCAGGGAAGCACATAGGTGTAATGCTCAGGCTAACAGGGAAGACTTAGACACAGCAATGGGGTCAAAGCAACACCTCTGCTATGGCACACGGTGCCAGGTCTCAAGCAATGTGCAGGGGTGCAGTAACCAACCCCTGGCACGGCACAGCCTTGCTGTTTGCATCTGCTCCCAGTCCTTATGCTTGGAGCTGCTCATCTGCAACCAAAGGTCCCAAGGGACAAATAAGAGCAGTATCACATACACCAGATAAAAGCGTTTCTGAATAATATGCTCTCTTTGCAATGGTTGAGAGGAAAGAAGAAAGGATTTCAAGAACATTTATTGGATGTATTCACATGTTTTTCTCCTGGGGTAGCAATATGTTTAGAGAAAGTCAGCAGATGATTATATTTACACACTGGAAGAGCTTTTCGATACAAACCAGTTATAGTTGTATGAACTAAACTTTATTTTTTTTTCAGGCAGTTTAAAACAAAAGGCATGTATTTAATACACAGAATATTTTTTTATAATCATGTAACCCAATTAGATGTTTCCACTATTGTAATATATTGGCTAACAAAACCTCATATGAAGAAATGTACTGAAATCAGAATGAATTGCTGCCTGTGTTCACTACGGTGATAGCTGCCATAAATGTTGCGATGCTATAAAGGGATTATTAATCATCTTGGGGAATTAAGTCTTGAGAGCTGAAGGCTGAAAGCTTATCTTGTGTTGGTATCTGCCTGCTGGAAGGTATTGAAAAAAGAAGTAAAATAATATTAATTGTATTCATAAAGGCCCCAAGAAGTTGAGAGCTAATGGCCTGTTCTGCTGTCCTTCAGGTTACTGGGATGTTTCCTGTTGATCCCAAGGAGCCAGCATCAGGCCCTGCATGACCTACCCAGGACACCAGATGGGACCACGGCTGTACAAAATGGATTCCTGCTCTCGTTCATCCCCTTTACCCTCAGGGTAATGGCACGGTTGGTTTCTAACCCAAAAGCCCTACTCTGCAGCCTGCTCTCACCATACCTTGAAGCCCAGCTTCTCTTAGTTTGCTGCTGGGTACTGGAGGTAGATTTCTAATGCAAAAAAAATATATATATATATTACAGCCTACATGCATCATGTTGCTGGTGCCATTATATTAGGCTAATCACCACGATGCAGTTTACTGAAAGCTGACAAAAACATCAGGTAATTGGGGCTTCATTGTAGCTTGGTCTATGGATGATTTAATGTAGGAGAAATCAGGTTAGGGAAAGCTCTGAATATGTATTTCTAAGGGGAACAAAAAAAAAGTTTTTTTCTCGCCTCCTCTCACTGCCTTTCAGTCATCGAAAGAAATCTTGAAAATGACACATGAGCTGCTGCAAAGCCTAAAAATAAGATGGCTTTTATTTTATATTTGGAAAGGGAGATTAGTTTGTTCTGTGGCTATTTTTCTTTTCATTTTTCTTATCTTTAAACAAGGTGGCATTTAAAAGTAGACATTCACTATGACAGGAAAAAAGCAAACAAACTTACTGCCTATTATTGCTGGGGTGGTGGATAATGGGAAAGCAAGAGAAAAGTGGGAGAGAGTGAGGAAAGTGGGGGCACTTACAGCGAAATACGTTTGTGTGGGTTGGGTTTAGCAGTTTGAGGCAGAGAGTTAGTTAGTCAAATCTCTTCATAGTTACACCCAGAAATAAATAGCCTTTCTCTCAGAGAATTGCCAAGGAACCATCTTTGAAGCTAGTGGTAGGCAGGGACTGAGAATGCTGCTTGCTAATTGTGCCTGTGTTAATTGTGGCCAGACGAAATGGGCAACCTTGCAGTTCAGCAAAGTAAATGCCCTGAGGTTAAAAACAAACAAGCAAACAAACAAAAATAAATGGTTTCTTTTTGTCCAAATTATCCATATAAAATTAATCCTGTTTTATACAAAGATTTATGACATTGGTCATTTGATGACATTGGACATTTGCAGAAAATGAATAAATAAATAAACAAATAGATAAAAAGCCACAACTGGAAGTTCCACTGCTGGAACAAACTAGGTACTCTCTGTAACTATTATTATTATCTTGTTTTCTTCTTATTAAAATTGAGGCTGGACTTTCCAGGTGTTTGTGTGGCTACATCAGGCTCTCCCTGCTCCCACCTGGCAGTGAGTGCACAGCTGGAAAAGGCCTGGCGTCCACGGGGCAGGATCCTGGGCCTCATCACCTGCACAGTTCATCACTTTCTAAGGTTAGCTGTGCCTTACTTGTAAAGTTATATAACTCTGCTGATAAGCAGTGCCCCTCTCCTGCCTGTGCTCACCCAGTGATTCCCAAATGTTGCTAAGCCCCATATTAAGGGCGTAGGCACATTTACTCACCCAGGACCCTAAATGCTGCTGTTTGTTCTTGAGGGCGTAAAGTAAAATATCCTGTCAGGCAATGTCTGAGAGCACAGTGGTGACACCTAGCTAATGTCTGTGTACATGTATACTGACAGTTTTTTTTCTGTAAATGGTCACAATATAAAACCTAGAGCAGCATCTACCTCCATCTTTTGGGCACATGATGACAGAGACAACTAATAAAAGTGAAGAGAGCACTGTCTACATGCTGTAAGGCATAGTGTTAGCTCTCTTCCCAAGACAAAAGTGTCCAAGCACTTCATATGAACTACAACATCATAGGTATTTTGATAGGATATTAGATTTTTCAGGGAAAAAAAAAAAATAATTTCCCATTCTCTGTTGAATGTGGCTTTGTTGTCCAAAAAATAGAAAGGCAAGCCATGGACACCCTGCTTGTTGGCCTACTAATTGCTTTCTAAAATCCGTGTGTTAGCTTCACGTAGACGATAACTGTGTGCTTTCAAGGGAGATCTATTCTTACCCTCTCAAGAAATATCATTGTCTTTTACTGAAGATATGTCCACGGCACAAATCTGAGATCATTTGATGGGTTACATGACAAAGTAAAATAAATACAAAATAAAATAAATGCCAATCAGTCTTCCTAAGACTTGCCAAGCCCTTCATTTCTCTGAGCACCTCTAATTCTCCCATTTATAAAAGCTTTTTGAAGAGGAGGTACTCATTCAAAGCCTTTTGTTGTTGTTTTTCTTTAAGAGCTTGATATTGTGGGAGGGAAAGAAAGAAAGAATGAAGAAAAGGGTGGGAAGAATGATCACATCTAAGGAAAGCAGCTTACTATTTCAGGATCCAGGCAAAATCATTTTGGATGAGCATCAAACATACAACACAGCCAAAATGTTTTATTTTTATCTTTATTTTCCCCATCTAAAATAGAATATTTGACAAAGCCATCCATCCCTTTAAATCTACTCTTGACGTTCTCACTTCACCAAGTTCAAATTTGCTGTACTTCTCAGCCCTGAGTGGAGTGTGGGTGTCAGCAATGTGCAGGTGATGTCATTTTTCATCCCTAACACGAGGTTTAATTGACACCATCATTCCGCACCCCTGCTCCCACTCTTTTTCCACCTCTTCAGTTCAAACCTTGCTGTCCCAGGCCTTTTGGTTCAACACACTTCAAAAATGTGTTATAACTTCATCACTTAAAGTCTTCTCTGAGAAAGGGGATCTTCATGACTACTTTTCATTCTTACATCCTTGTTGATATGGAGATGAAAAATATGTCCAATATATTTTTACTTTAGTAATCCCATCCAGTGGGACACACAGAATGGCACACAGAATGAAGGGATGACACTGCACCAGTGGTGGACTGGGGATTGGCCATCAGTGTACTTTGAAGGAATTACAAAGTTTTATAGCATTTATTTCATTATTCTTAATACACAAAACATAGTCTTTATAAATCATCTCTTGTGCATAAAATTTGGTGTTGGAATATCATTTTTTTATATAGCTTTATTAAATAAATCATCACAATAAGCTCTTGGATAAGATATTTTGTCATACCTTTAATCTACTCAGTGAGGAATGCAGGATAAACAGTAGAAGTTTTACCTTTTTATTTTCCAGTGGGATTTTTTATTACTTGAGGAAACATCAGTTTAGAAAACAGGTATTTGGGAACTGTATAAAGAAAAAGGCAAGAACTTAATTTCATTGACAGGCAAAAGCTCTCAGTAGCCCAGCTGCTCCTCTGTTCTTCAAAGGGTCTTTCCACTCCATGTGTCCTAGGTGCTCTACCAAAAAAGAAAAACAAAATAAAGTAAGAAGAAACAAACAAAAATTAAGAAAAACGAACACACACGCTGTGACCAAAGCTCTTCCTCTGCCTTGTTTTCACCCAGCTTTCATTTGTGGTTACCAGCTCCCTCATAAGCACAGTAAATCGAGGATCATCCAGCTTCGTAGCCTGTCTCCATCCCGCTGCCTGTAGGAGAAAATGCCCTGCTCATTTCAATGCAGCTGTGACTGCTGTGCTGGCTGGAAGGCAGCAGTGACGTTGCACTCACCAGAGGAACTCGGGACCGCAAGCCAGCCCTTTTGAAATCTGGTCTCTCAGGCTTCTGAAATTGCTACGCAAAGCCACGGTCTAGCGTTCAGTGTATCTCCCTCATTATGGTTACATTAGAGGTAGTTGCCTGTGATTAGTTAGTGAGACAATTAAGGAGATAAAGTCAAAATGTGAGAGAGAGCATACTGGGCAATTCAAAGGTTGAAAGGCTATATTGAAACACATCTGGTCATAATTAACTGTACAATTTCACTTGGCCAAACATCATTACATGCAACTAAATGAATCTCATCTTAGCTGATTGACACTATACTATACAGTCATTGCAAGCAAGAGACAAGATGTATGTGACTTGCAAGAAAAAGTAAAGAGCGTGCTTCCAGCAGCAGCTTATGGTTGAGAGAAAGAGAGAGACAGAGAGAGAAAATCACTGCCAACTAACTTCAGTGTTTTGGCTCCAGTTTTTGTTGTGATTGTTCTTTTTTAATGCTTTATAAACGCAGGTTTAATACATGGTTGCAGTGATTACATTTTTGTCCCTTACTGTGTTCGGCTAATTCTACAAATGGAAAGAATTACTGAAAACAGAAAAGGTAATGGTGTTCTTAGTGCATATGTGATAGGAAACAGTAGAAATGATGATGGTACATGAAGCAGTTGATAATTTGTCAGCCAATTGCTAAACCAATGTTGAAGGTGATTAGTTTTTATCTAGAAGTGGTACCTACATGCCCTGCTGCACAGGACAAGTCTTCCCCAAAAGAAAAGGTTTTCTTTGAACTGTGATTTGAATAATGCTCGTAACCATAACTACTTTCACCGTCTTATCTCTCCATCTTCTGTTCTGAACTATTAAGTGTTGCAGCTGTTTAGCAATGTGTTTGTAGACATAAGGCACAAAGAAGCTTGAAAACTTGAAAGCTAGAATTGTAATGATGAAAAAAGGTAGGAATAATTACAACTGTAACTTGTAGTGATAAACAGCTGGGCTGATACTGTATTTTTTTTTCTTAAATGTTATTTAGACTCGTGCAATTTTGTTTACAGCTTATCTCGACATAAGGCGCCATATGGCAGTAGATGAGTGGGTGCTAACAAGAGCACTTCAGAGACAAGTGTGTCTCTGGGTGCCCCTTTCCCAGCCACCCCGGAAGGACTCCAAGTGGAGGCTTTTGCCTGGGGATGACTGAAGTTTGCTGTAGACTTTCCGTGGTACCAGCTCAGGTGTTTGGGTGGCCATCTGGCACATGAATAATTTAATGAACAAGAAGACTGTTCCAGGCCTGTGTCTTTCAGCAGGATGCATCACCAGGATGCTTTGTGATATCGTTAATTAAGAGAGAGGACTTGGAGTTAGGATCTCAGGTGGCACTGCAGGTACAGGTATGTCTGACTGTGCACTCAGGTTCTCATCTGCACATAAGCCACACAGCCAGCGTGTAGTGGTGGGATTGGGCTCGTGCCTGGGGCTGCCCCCTGGAAGGCAAGCTGAGAGCAAGGGGGAGGCTGGGGCACCTGTCCCTTCCCTCCCTGCAGAGCTCCAGCAGCCAGGCTGCACTGCAGGCATGGGCCTTTGCTTTCATTTCCATTTACATCTCCCAGTCCTATGTCTCTTGCTTATCAGCTGTGCCCTGCACGTTAGTTTGGGATTGTGCTTTTTTCTTTGCTTGTTTGTTTCATTTTTCTTCACAGCCTTCCACATCTGTTGCCCATGCATTGCATGCACATTTAGCTGAGGTACTCACATATCAGCCTGAGAAAGGAGAAGATCTCTGTGACCTCTGCTGTTGCCATGACTTGAAAGCATCATTTGAAAATGGCATTGATACATCTGGAAGTATTCGTTTGTATTATGCATAGAAACACACACCCACAATTTCATCTTTTTTTTCAAGGAAATCAGAGGGTAAGGAGGCAATAAATTGATAACCAATACCTCACCTTTGGATTGAGCACCTTCCGCTCAATAACCAGCTCTGGAGATAAAGCCATTGTTCATCTTAAACAAGGCTCAGTAAAATTTAATCCTGCTAAAAGATAAAGCTGAGAGGAGCTGAGCTACCATTTAGCTGTGGTTGCAATGCTGTTTCAGAGGGCAGTGGGACCGGACTGCTTCCAGTGCTGGTGCTGAGCGATCCTGCAAAGCAGAGGGTCCTCATGTCAACAAGTGAGCTACACAGACTTTGAAATAGCTACTTCACTATAAGTGGAAAGCCCACTTGCATGTCTCAGCTCAGTCCTGATGGCCCAGGTCCTCGGCATTAGTCCTGTATTGGCGCTACTCCAGTCGCTTGAAGTCCCTGAGGCCTGCCTTGGCCTGGGGGATCTGAGCTCTCACTGCAACTGGGTGCTTAACGCTGGAGAAATGTGTTGTAACTTCCAGACCTGGGCCCCTATTCTAGGTTCCTGCTAGAAACACTTCCCATGAATATTTTACAACCCTTTTAAAATGTATTCATTTTACAAAAATACCTTTTGTATTTGCTTTCCATTAATATTTATGCCGCTGGCTTTTGCTGTGCAAAATCTGCATGGAAAGGTGTTTTAAATCCGCTGTCTGGCATGCTCACGTTGGCACAGTCCCCATCAGAGAGGAGTGCCTTTTGGGATCAGCTGCTGCACCTGAACTGGTGAGCACTGGGTGAGGGGAATGTTTCTCATTCCTGCTCATTACTTTTTGATGGCTTTTCAAGCTTTTAGATTCTGCAAGTGATGGGTCCTCACTTAAGGAAAAACATGTACCAATGGATCATCTAATGAGAAGAACTCATAAATATGGGTGGAACGTCAAAGACAAGCTGCAGCTAAGCCAGGTCTACAGCCACTTTTCCTGACCCCACTGTGATGGCTTACTTGTCACTCCTGCAGTTTCCTTGCCTTGTGGAGTGCATGCACCTCCCTGTGTGCCCCCCTCCCCCCCCCCCTCCCCTCCCCCCCGCTACGGTTTTGTTCCCCTGTGTCATGAATAAACAGTGCAGCAATTGTATGTGAGCAGGGTGTGTTGGGAAATACTGAAATAAGGCTCTTATTGGTAGCACTCTTTTGTACCTGCTTTAAGACATTTGCACTGTAAGCCCATCTAAATTATATATCAGACTGACACACAGCTAAATCTGTGCAGAGGAATTTGTCATTCTCCATCATTCTGGCAATGTTTCTCCCTAGGGGACAATTATAGACTGACCTGTTTGTACAAGAAATTGCTTTGTATCCAAGATAATTATTAATCTGCATACCGACAGACAATGATGACAACTCTCTTTTTCTCAATAGATCTTGTTAACAGTTATATGTGTTTATATATATAATGTCTACATAGCTTACCTATACCCATGAATTATAAATAGCATGCTGTATTTGTGTTTATATGTATATGTTTGAGTATATGTATTTTATTAGTGTCAACATCTGTAGTCTGGTAAAATACATCTAACTATATAATTTAAAATTGCACAGTGATTACATCATTATATCTAATGTACCTAGAAATTTCCTTCTTATTCATCTATATTTCCTTTCTTTTATTTCCTCTTACATTTATGTTACTTGTGACTGTATGTGGCCAAAACATGCTTTGGTTAGCGTATCAAGGATCTGTTTGGCTATATATTTATATAGAGAATATATATATATGAAAATAATATCTATTAAATATAATACTATGTGTACTATATTAAAGTTATATAGATTATATATATTACAGATTATGTAATTACATTACATATTATATACTATATGATCTAGATGATACAGATTATGTATAATATACTCTCTAATACATATTTTTTAGTATCTGATATATAGTCTATACTGTATATAATATATAAACATATTTATTATATTATATGCTGCGTACTTACTATATAACATAGTACAGTATAGTGTGCTCCATACAGTTAATAAAGTATATTTTGTGTGGTATATAATATGCCATATTATGTAGTTTATACTATGTAGTATATAATAGTAGCGTAATATATAATATATGTAATCAGAATAAGCTTTACAGTTGCTGTTTTCTAACAAATCATCTTTTGTTCTTTCTTTATAGAACAACTCGCTGAGCACAAGTATGCCATTAATTACTTTGTCTATAAGCAACTTGTTCAGTCTGATTTATCACATCGACAGTAAACAGGTACCACCATTTCAATTTCTTGCCTTATAGAAGTTTTTCTATGATCCTAATCAATTTATCTCCATTCTCTGAAGAATGTTTCTGCCATCCAGACTTTTTGAGATGCAGTAAGCAAAACACAACAGTCAAGTGAAGGCGTACTGATTAATAAAATGGCAGCCTGTTCCTTTTCTATTAATCCATATTCCATTTTAGCTGTCTTAATGTTCAGGCTGTTGTTCCACTACTCTTGTACAAAGAGTACAAAAGCAGAGCAAAGGTGTGTGCATGTGACTGCAGGTCCCTGCCCTCCTAATGCAGACTCCACATGGGAGACAGCTGTTCAAGTGTCTACTGACTGGCATAGCTCGGTTGCACTCGATGCACTTGATGTCAGACTGGCAGGTACTCTGGGGACAAGTTACAGCTCTTAGCATTCATCTCAGTCCTCAGGAAGTTGGGACTGATTTGCAGTAACTATTTATTAATCTGCATATTTAGCAAATGTTGTGGGGTTTGCTATTTTTTAACTTGTTTAATTAACAGTAGCTTTAGTAAAAGGATCCTGTGTGTGTCACCATTGGGAGCTATGTGTAAGAAATGCTCTTCCATGGCTCAGCACCACCACCACCACCACGTGGTGTGACAGCTGAGGCCTCTGGCACAGGCAGGCCTGAGGCAGTGCTCCTCAGGCACTGAGTGGTCTGCGTGCCTCCTCTCTCCTCAGCTCCCGGGAGAGGCCAGGAGAGGCAACAAAACTTCAGTTTCGTGTTAATGACATATAAAAGGTCAAGGATGTGATGGCAAGAGCTCCAAAGCTGTATTTGCTAACCAGAACACCAAAATGAAACAAATACTTCTCAGTGAAGTTAATACTGCAATAACTTAGTCACACAGGGCTTCAAGAACCAGGCCTCAGGGTATCCAACCTCTGAAATAGATGCCAGAAAGCACCGCTTTGCATTCAGCAGTACCAGGATCAAACTGTACCCATCCAATTCCAAGCTGACTGACTGAGTGTTTTCATAAAGGAAGGCAGATAAAATGGGTAAGTTGCCCGTTTTAGTCTCACAACGCCTCACTTTGGCCGTGTGCTTGGAAGGAGCATATTTTGTTTGGGAGATGTCTCTGCAAATGGGGTGTTACATATATCTAACTCTAGAGGCTGTGAAAACAAACTAACAAGTAATAGGAAGAAAAAAAAAAAAAGAAAAAAAAAAGAGTAAGGGCCATGATAGGCTCATTTCCAAACCTTAGTGATGTGTGCCAGCAAAGGTGCAAGTGGTTTGAATCAAAAGTTTTGAAAACAGTAACAAACACGCAGGATGGCCTAGATACTGACAGTCTTTTTAGTTTCCTCAACTTCTGAATAGAGCAAATGTTTTGAAAGTCGCTGTTGAACAGCAGCTAATATACACTTTCAAATTAGGGTATGTATCCTAAACAGCACACTGCTGCCTTACACAAATGCAGCCCTGGAGTTTGACCACCTGCTAGGGAACACCAGCGGGTAAAAATAAACCTCCATTTTCTGTACTTCAGGCTTTCAGACTTTTAGTTGTTGTTCATGCTAGAGAGGGTTTTTGTTGTTATTTTTTGGTTTTCTTTTTGCAGAGCACACATTACTGTCAGTTGGAATACTAATGGACATCAACATAAACATCATCTCCAGGGCTGTTCAATGAAACTATCTAAGGCTGATTGTCTTGAAATTAGCTTGACTCATATCTGAAAATTGCCAGTGATTAGCTGATTATGGTTTGAATTGAACTCAGATTGCTACAAAAAGCTACAAAAAGTCATCCTCAGATATATTCTAGTAAATGATGCCTCAGTTGCTGCCAGCACTTGCATTAGGGATGAAGGTCTATTACCACATCACACTGACGGCAGTCATTTTAAAATATATATTCAGCCTGGGGAGAATCTGTCTCCTGGGGAGAATGCTGTCTTACTTTTTAACCTACTCGCTAGGTAAAAAAAAAAATAAAAAAAAAAATGCCAGAGACATCACTAACAACAGAACAGATTAAATTCTTCCCTATGAGAGGAACTTGTTTACCCTTTCTAAATACAATTATTATAATTAGAGGAGTGGCTCAATCCTAGTGTGTTACTGAGAATCATCCCTTCTATAATAGTATGTGACTTTTAAAATACTTTGATATAAATCAAATGCCCAGTGCTAACAATGCCGAGCAATAGATATCAGCTCAATTGAAAAATAATAATAAAAAAAGCATTATTTTGTCATAATCATCAAGTTCTGCGGAAAAAAAACAACTCTGTTTTGATTAACTCCTGCTGATATAAGGTGTTGATACAAACAGAGGATGCTACCAATTTCACCAATCCAAATACTACAAAGAAGACACAGACTTGACACGTTTATGTGTCTGTATTAGAGCTGAACTAAACACAGTTTAGCTTCCTGTGAATAAGCACATTCCTCATTGTTTCAAAACTGGCCAGTTTTGAGTGTTGGCTCTGCATGGCAGACAGCCTGCTTTGTTTTTACGTGCCTTTTTAAGCATATTGCACAAGGGGACAGCAAAAAGGTATCTGTGCTACAAGTCATATGAAAGTAGGCAACAGGATTCCAGCATGCCATGTTGTACAGGCATCAATTCAGACTACTTGCAAGCAGTATTTCTTTCTGGTTTTGGTTCAGACATGTCTTTTCACAACAACAACAACAGTATTACTCTGGTGACGCCACAAGCAGTTACAGAGATTCCTGCACTAGGAACCACTCGTTTGAGGCTCGAGATTTTGGTGTAGGGAGTGTAAAAATCATCAGATGCCATGCTTGAAATGGTCACGCTGAAAGCTGTTATGGGGCACACAGATGACTTGTGCTCTAATTGCACAGCCCCGCAGGGCAGCGTGGTCAGAAGGGACCCCGGGAGGGCCTCTGCGCCAAGCCCTGCTCCTGCCTGTGTCAGGAACCCCAGGCCGGGATGGCTGTGTGGCCGAGTGCTGTGTGCAAGGCACACCAACACTGGCCTGGGAACAGACACCACAAAGTGGCAGGCTTCGTGTCAGTCTGAGGTCTTGCACTATCCAGGTAAGAGCCTGAAGCCTAGGTTCAGTATGACATGAGCGTGTCAGTTTTTACAGTAGATGGAAGGCCATGGGGAAGGTTTCAGGGACCAGTGCAGGCATACTCTGTCATAAATGATCTGGAAAATTGGCTTAGCAGGGAGGTGATGACATTTTCTCATGACACTATATGTGGTTATTAAAGGAGAGGGGACCTGATATGAAGAAAGACCCTCTGAGACTCAGTGGCTCTTAAATGACTAACAGAAAATTATTCCAAAAAGATTAAAAATAAACACAAAACAAATAAAAACAAAAACAAACAAACAACAACAAAACAAACAAACAAACAAAAAAATCAGAGAAAAGAAGTAGCTAGGCTTTAGCGCTCATAGGCCAGATACTGAGTGCAAAAGGAATCATTAGGCACTAAATAAAAAAATGTGTGTTTTGCCTCCGTTGTGATTACTTTGTGCAGTGCTGCCTGCCTCCCTCATCTCCATCTCAGGTAAGGGTGTAGCAGAACTAAAGGTGATCCCAAGGGGAGGATAGCAGCCAATGTCTCCTGGAAGGACCAAGCACTCCGAGGTGTAATACGGCCAAGTAAGATTCTGGAGAGGTTGAGCTGCTCAACAGGAGAGGGCATGTGTCAGGAACACTCATAGTTATCGTGTAATACAATCATTAGATATGATCAAAGGAAATTAGCA